CTCTAAAGATAATTTCGTTCACACCTAAAACTTTCCTACCGGCAACTCGAATGAAATGGAATGTCTTACGGGAACTTCCTATTGCGGTTTCCTCATCGCATCTCTGATGCGTGTTGAGACCACCGAATTTCGCGGTCTCAGCGTAGGTTTACGTTAAGTTCTCGTTTCGTTATAAACTGCGTTGCGTTATGCTCGCCGCCGATCAGAAGTGACCAACGTGCTTCAAGAGGGCGAAGAAACGCCGCGGAAATCCAGCGTGTCACAAAATGACATGTCAAACCGCAACTAATCCAGCGGATTGCATAGCATTCTTGATAAGCGACCAGTGCCGGTTGATGTTATGAAGTAGAGTTGATTCTAGATTTTCAGCTAGCGCGTTCTGAAAGGGAATTAGATGTACTGGATCAGACAAAATAATTGCAGTCTAACCGTCATTGTATCGTGCGCTTAGAACGCCCACCGAAGCATATGGACAGCTGGGCGCAAACTTATACCTGATTGGATTTGAGGGTGGGTGCTCCAGTACAACCAAAAGTCTTGTATGCAACCGCGCCATTTGCGGCTTATAGTGATGTGGTCGATCTACCTTTGTCACTGACTCGAGGAGGATGGACTCCAAGTGGTGTGCCGGCAGACAACAGAAATTTCATATTTTATTTTGTGTTTTGTGGGTTGTTTTACTACTCTATCGCCCAACCCCAGAGTAGACCTTGTTCAAGAGAGAATCCAACAAGGGATCAATGGCCATATTTACTGGCGGGCTATGCTTGCAGCATCACCGCACTTTCCAGAGCTACGTGGTATTTTGTGTGGAGAACATGTGCCAGGTGGTAAACCCGACACATCCTCGAGCATTGCCGCTGATCCTCCACGACAGCTTATTCAGTGGGTCCAAACCCACCTTATTCACCGTTAACCGCGGGTTAGCGGCTCTTCTATTCGCGAGCTGCGGACGCGCCCCGTAGAATCTGGGTTTTTAGCCAACTCCCATGGGTGAACTGCCAGTGGTTCACCAACTCCGTTATAGCCCCAGATATTGGCTTTTGGTTCTCTCGCTTTGGTGGGAAAACACCTGCTCCACGAAAAAGCAGTGACTAGGGCTTCCCCAGCAGACGCTGTTTGAGACGCTTGGTCGTATAGGAACATTTCGCGATGTGCTAGGAAGGGGTGACCAGCCACAACCCAAGGCATCCACCCCCGACCATACCGAAGCTCTCGGAGGCAGCTGATAGTTTGGAGTAGGTGTAAGCAAATCTTTTGGAACCGATCATCAAAAATATCAATCGCGAGATTCTGAAGGAAGCGACCCCTTGAAGTCGATGTTCAACCTCCCAATAAACGCGGCGTCTGCGATCAGGTCTCCAGTGGGAAAACTGACAGAACTGTAGCTTCCGTCTATCACAACAACAACCGTCGATGATAAATTTCACTTCATCGACAGTTTAAGGGAGATTTTTAGTTGTAACAAAATAAAGCATTCGGGTAATTTCCAGATGACTCAGTGAATAATGTAATTGTTA